AAGTCTACCTGTATTACTGAATCCCTAAGAAATACAAGTAGTTTTGAAAGAGTGTCAACAATAAAGTTAGTGAGTTCATAAGCATTTATGTATAAAATTTGTAAGTTTGGTATAAATCACTGAGTTTACTTCTATAAAGTCCAATATTTTTCCATGAGTGTGTGGTAGTTTAAAAGTTCCAAAACTGTAATGCATTAGTAGTTGTCATGCCTAGAATAATAGATTTATGTATGTATAAAATCACTAAGATATTTGATAACCCCATAAATCATTGTGTTTTTAATACTTCATATGAGTTTTATAACCATGCTATTGACCTACGCTGCCTATAACAACGTTCTTCAGGCGTTGGAATGTTATGATGTTTGTCACCCCAGACCTGCCGGTCTAACTGTAGCTAACAATTTAGGTGTGGGATTGTCTATCCCGTATAGATCTATACACAGCTATCACGCTCTCCTTACAAGAGATAATGGTATATAATACATGACTTTAACGGCATACTTGGTAGTACGTGAAGTGGAATGTCTCACAAAACTTAGTATCAAATAGATTTACGTATGAAAAGTCCATTTGTTCTTGTATATGAAAGTATTTCCTTGATATAGTACTTATAGCATGTAAAATCTCATGATTTCCCTGTAAACTATACCTATTATAGTTTTTCCAAAAGTGTATTTCGTTTGTATGCTAAACCCTAGTGAAGTGTCGACTTTGTACGTAAAGTATAACATTTGTAATGACATCATTGAGCATTTATACTCAAAATATAAATAAAGTGTTTGATATTTATATAACAACGTGTTTCATTTCAAAATGGACAAAGTGTTTTCATGATATGTTGCATCAGAACGTTTTCGTATGATAGATTATAACAAAAAGTATAACAAAAGGTTTATGTTATTCACACAAGGATAACTGTGTGTTTACTTGTATCCCCTCCCTTTAAAAGTGTATAAAAGCATTTACAAAGCATTTGAAAACGTATTTATAGGGGTATGAACTCACTTGTTAGTTTGAAGAAGGTGAGAGGAAAACCGAGCAGAACTTCGACACGAGAAAACGGATTTCTCGGGATTCTCAGGAATCTCGGGAGTGTAAAACCTTCCTTCGGGACTTGGATGTTAAGACCGGGGCTTCGGGGGTTAAAACGCAAAGCTTTGGCACTAGAGAGAAGAGAATTGAGCACCTAAGCCCTAAACAATCTGTTTCTATTTATAGGGGTGAAATCTGAGGTTCACGTCGTGAGCTCGACTTGCCTCCTCTTGTAGACTTGACAACTCGTTGATAGGCTCTGGAACCCATCAGTCACAACTTCACGTCGTGAGCTGCCTGACAGCCTCGAGTTTTGTCTCCCGAACTTGTAAAATCCGTAAATTCCGCATACGAGCTCCATTTTCGACGTTCTTTATATCCACGCGTAGGCGAGATTATTCTCTACAACTCTTGTTTAGACTCCGTCGGCTAATTTTGAATTTATTTTTAATATTATATTTTTAACAGGCCGGGACAGGAAAAGTCCGTTAAAAATCCATAACTTCTTCATCCGGTGTCCGTTTTCGTCATACTTTTTACCGTTGCACTACTATTGTTAAGATCTTCGATTCTCATTTAGGTTGTTTCAGCCAAAACTCCCTCGATCTCTATTTCGAGTTTTCAGCTGTCTACCGCTATCCCGAAACTTAGAAAAATCATAACTTCCTCATACGGAATTGGATTTTGACATTCTTTTTATGCACGCTCACGGTTTAGTATAATCTACGACTTTCGTTTAGATACCTAAGGCTAAAAAGTATTTTATTGAAATTTCACTTTTTACATTTGCCAATGTTTTATCGGTTTTGACACGAATTTTCGATTGATCATATCTTCTTCGTTATAACTCATATTTTATTGTTCTTTATATTTCCGAAAACCTTGACACGATTACTATCATTTTAGGCAACCTAATAGAGACTTTTGAACATTTTATTTTTGACACTAATTTCATTATATCAAAAGAGATTACAATTCTTGACTTTTTAGGTCATTACATTGATTCGAAATACCGGGTTGTCACAGTTCTGAATGTCATGAGCCTCTCCTCTATGATCTCCATCATACCCTCCTTGACCTTCCCAAAGATAATTGGGGGAGCGTCAAGGATGCCCCTGGTAACCTTTGTTGCAATAAGCTTATGCAACCTCTCGTCAATGGTCTCGAAAGTGTCACCTAACCCAACCCCGAATCCATATCCCAATCCTGACCCCCTGCTCCAAATCATGTCACCACCATATTGCTTTGCAATACCATAAAACATAATGATCTGGATGTCCATAGAGGGGATCCACCCACATCGGTACTCCTTAAAGCTTCCAGATCTAACATTGGTTCAGGTATAAGTCATGTGCTTTCATTAGTATGGGGCCAATACTACCTTCCACACCCACATGCACCTTACCCAAGTCTCTATCTGATAACTCTAATTTGTCCTAAAACAATCATGCCGTACAGACTACGCATAACTCAAATCCTAGGCTAACCTAAGATTTCCTCCATCCATATCAAAGTAGAACTGAATCATACTAGGTTGCCTTATGCATGCAAATTGTACAAAGAAAAGGATCAAATAGACTTTCGAATAATAGACTCTACCCTAAGACCACAACCAGACAACGAACATGAAATAAGGCCAAATCAATCATTCCGAGGCTATAAGACCCTAACCGTATACAATTTTGAAAGCATAAACATACCAAAATTCATACGATTATCATAACTCACATATCAGTATAACATGGCTAACATACTGGGGGGACTACCTACTTGACTCGGCAGGTCACGCGCATTGCACACTCTTTTTTCTCATTCTAAAAAGTTTTAAACTTTTATTTTTGAAAACAATTTTACCATTTCCTTAGTTTGAGTCTTGACACACCCGAAAGTGTGCCCGGATCTCTCAAACCAAGGCTCTGATACCAACTTGAAACGACCCAAATTTTCAAAAGAAAATTTTCAATTTTAAAATATCAAAAAAATTTAGTTATCCATAAAATCTCAAAACAATGGTTTTCAAATTCATACGTCAACAAATTTATATTTCAAATATCAGAGTGTCCCAAAAGGAAAGCGCCAGTGAGAGTACATGCCGCACCATCAGACCTTGCCCTTCCCCTTAGGCTCAGAAGTACTTGAAATAATCAATAAACTGTAAGCTAATGCTTATTGAGTTCCCCAGATCATACCCCACACAAACCACATAATCACATAATCATATTAACTATTAAAGCTATGTAAACCACATAATCCATGCATACAAACATATAAAGAAGCCATGGAAACCCTCCAGGGTCTTACACCTAGTGCCACTGGAACCCCCACGTGGTCTTAACTAACTGCCATGGAAACCCCCACACGGTCTTTACAATCAAGGGATGATATACAAACCATACAAGCAAATAGAATGCCAAGGAAACCCCTCCAAGGTCTTACATATAAGTGCCCTGGAACCCCCCTAGGTCTTTCATGTGAGTATCACAAATAACTAGCATATTACATATCCTATAACCAACTGATCATAACTCATAACAATAATGGGTCGGCCTTGGTGCCTTCGACCCATTGGTATGGTGAGGAGACTCACCTATCGTAAATGCTGAACTGACAAGCTAAGATCGTATAAATCCCAAGTGCTACTCTAACTCAACAGCCTATAAGCACCATGTAATTGACTTGTTACAATCCTGAATTACGATAATTATTCTCAAAGTCAATCCCAGTCAACACTGATCAAAGTCAAGGTCAACAGTCAATGTTGACCTCAACTCGTTGAGTGCATCCAGCAACTTGTCGAGTTCCCGAGTAACTCCTCAACTCACCAAGTTACCTCTATAACTCGTCGAGTTCCTCAAGGTCCAATAGACCAAAAACCCCAATCCTTCACAAAACACTCAGAATCTCAAAAAATGGGTAAACCTTACTCGACTTGCCAAGTCGTCTAAGGGACGTGACAAGTTCCTTCAGTCCTTTTTTGTGTTCAGTCCTTTCCAGTGAGATCCAAGGTCCGAAACTTCAGATCCAACTTCTCCTAGTGTAGTTACCATGTAAAATTGCAAACTTTACGTGCATGCAAGTCCGTACAAGGCTAAAACATCAATACTAAGGTTCCTACAAGGTGTTAATGCATGGAAAGGGCCTAAGATGAATAAAGTGAGCAACTTTATGTAATTGAAGACCTAGTGGGGTACATATTTGGAACCATATCCTTGTGACAAGTCCAGATCCGAAAATGACACCCTTTTGGCACCAAAAGTGACCATTTACATCCAAGAAAAGAGATTTAAGCAACTAAAGGTCAGGATAGTGACTTTATACCTCAATATGGTCACCAATGCAAGGTGGGTGTCAGATCTACTGCTTCCCTCTTTGCTTCTTCTTCTTCAAACTCCAAAATCTTCACAAACACACCAAAACTCCCTCTCAAAAGCTCTCTTTCTCTCTCAAGAAGGTGCAAGGCTCAAACTAGGGTTTTACTGGTTGTAGGAACAATGGAAGAGACTGCAATTGAGCCATAAGTTCTTTAAATATGGTACAAACCCCTGAAAATTAGGGTTTCTCGTTACAGTGCCTACTCGTTGAGTCGGGGCCTTTCGACTCGTCGGGTAGGATCTGAATCCCGCGTCCTCATAAATGAATCTACTCGACGAGTTGGAGCTTCCTAACTCGTCGAGTTCAAGCATAAAAGCTTAAAACATAAAAATTTAAATAATACCTGGAACAGGTTTACGATAATTCTTCCATCATCCATTAATAGCACATCCTTTTTTATAGTAGGCTTAGGGTTTGATCTTCTAATCTTTGCACCATAAGATTGTAGCTTAGTATAGTGTTTAGTACGTGTGCCTTTAACAAGAATTATATCATGTTTTTTTTGCCCTTCTACATTGAACGAAAGCTGGAAGCTATACAAAACTTCGTAATCACTTCCTATCTTGGTTGTCTAATAGTCGACTTATTATATGCATAATCTCCTTTGTGTAATGAGCTCTAATCCATGAATATATCATAATTATCCATAACTTGTAGTTTCTTGCTCATTTATGATTAAATTTTAGTGACTTTATTTGAAATGAGTGTTCTTCTCCTATTCACGAAGCTCATAGTCTAAAAGTACATTCTCCTTAAGAACACACCAATAGCCTTTGACTATCATTCGTCATAAAACAAAGTTATCTATTGACCACACTAAATTACATAGCGTTGATTTTAGCTGTTTTGGGTTTTCAAAAAAACATGAGTTTGTTTCTTCTAGTTTACCTTCTCATAGAAACTTGAATGGACTACAACTAAATCCTCATCATTCTCTTGGAAATCATTGTCTTGTTTTCTTCCATACATTTTGCTTGGGAACTCATTATCAATTGTCTTGTATATGGAAATGGGGTTGATCTTGGGTTATTATATCCTCCAAGTTAAGCCGGTGAAAAATATGGTCTTTTTCTAAAGGATCTTTTTGAAAAATTTGGTATTCACATTGTATAACTGAACCATGTTCTTCATGAGTGCTTACTTCATCAATCCAATCATCTAAACCATTCCTAATATGGTCGTTATAAATGGATATTTGAGGACTTTCGTAAATTGTATCTAAAAATTGGACATACTCAAAATCATTCTCTATGAATAGAATACTAATGGATAGATGACGATATGGAAGACACTAAAAAAAACCTTTTAGCTGTTTCTCTAGTAAAACATTCCAACCATATAACACATTCATCCAGATTCATACCTGCAAAATCAACATCAGTGAACAAATTATCGTCACCTCCATCATAAACCAAGTTTCTCGGACAAACATGCCATTAAAGTTGAGATCAACTTCCGGACAACACACATGTTTAAAAGCAAAGATTAAGGGGTTAACACAATACCTTCCTTCGTTAGAGTAAGAAAACCCTAATTGAGTTTTGTCTTCTTAAACGTAAATGTTAATAGGGTATGAAGGTAATTATTTAGGAAGAGAAAAAGAAGATAACGTTTTAGTTTAAAAGGCAGACGTGACATTTCATACATGAAAGGTAAACACTCGGCTTTTGAAAGTCAATGACCACCTAAATAAAATTACCGGCACACCCCCTTCATCTCTTACAAAATGGTTTAAATGAAGAAGATTTTATGACTTTAGGGATCTAGAGTACAAATAATTAAAGTGAGGGACCTTTTTAATTTTTTTTCTCTCTAAAAGATCACATTAACCCTTAAAAAAACACTATAACAAATACTTCTTTAATTGTTTATAATTAAAAAAAGTTGCATTTTCAATAAATAAAATTAAAAGTTTCATTTTGTTTTGTTGGAACCGTGTTACCGACACTTTGAATCCTCATCATCCACTAGATATATGTACGTAACACCATTTCATATATGCCAAAAACATTTTTTCCAAAAACATGCATGTCCCGTGTATGAAAAATACTCCTCCCCTAAAATTCGAAAAAAAAGATATATCAAATTTAAATTTTCTAGTGCTAAATTATTAATAGAGTAAATTACACGAATGATCCCTATGGTTTAGGGTAATTTGCACGTTTGGTCCCTAACTTATTTTTTTAACTCGGAAGGTCCATACTGTTTGTTTTTGTTACGCGCTTGGTCCCTGTCTTACATAAAAAGTCTATTTTTCCCTTTATTTTTTAATTTATTTAAATAAACACACCCCTAATCTCACCCTTCTCACCTTACCTTACGTACCACATTATTTTTTTCCTATTTAAATAATAGTCTTTTTAGGTATGACAGGGACCAAGCGTGTAACAAAAACAAACAATAGGGACCAGACACGTAATAAAAACAATCAGTAGGGACCTTTCGAATTAAAAAAATAAGTTAGAAACCAAACGCACAAATTACCCCAAACGATAGGGACCATGTAATTTACTCTTATTAATATTTCGGAAATTAATACAAAGCAAATGGATTGAAAGTTTGGTCCACATATAAATTCACAACCTAAAATAATTCATGGCCACTACAATCGAATATTCATTCCTAGCCATGCAAATTCCTACCAAAGGGGCCCATATCTACTCCCAGTTGTGAGTTGTCTTTCATTTCTATCTTGCATTTGATCCTCCTTCTTATCTTCTTCATCTCTCACCCAATCCCATCTCTCTCCAAAATTTTAGGGTTTCCTCCAAAATCTAGTCTGCTTTACTATCTCTCACCCAATCCCATCTCTCTCCAAAATTTTAGGGTTTCCTCCAAAATCTAGTCTGCTTTACTAACACTAGAACCAAAATTCTAGTTGTTTTCTTGCGTTAGATCATCAAATTTCATGCAGATCTGCGCTAGATCTTGAAATTGTTTTTATCGTGTTGCAGAAGATGAAGATTCAGTGTGACGTATGTGAGAAAGCTCCGGCGACTTTGATCTGTTGTGCCGATGAAGCGGCGTTGTGTGCAACATGCGATACTGAAGTTCACGCAGCTAATAAGCTTGCAAGCAAACACCAGAGGCTCCTCCTCCAAACGCTTTCAAATAAGCTTCCTCGCTGTGATATTTGCCAAGTAATTTTCTAACTCCATTTTCGTGTTTTTTTGGAGCTTTACTTTTTGTAACTTACTTTATCTGATTTAATCGATCTACGATTCTGTGTTTATAGGAGAAAACGGCATTTATTTTCTGTGTAGAGGATAGAGCTCTGTTCTGTCGCGACTGTGATGAACCGATTCATTCAGCCGGTAGCCTTGCTGCCAACCACCAGCGTTTCTTAGCTACCGGAATCCGTGTAGCTCTTAGTTCTAGCTCCTCCCATGAGCCGGAGAAGAGCCACCACGAACCACCACCACCGTCCAATAAGAACATCGTCGTTCCACAGGTCGTTCCTATGAAAGCACAGACACATCCAGTCTCTGGATACAGTTCCCCGTCGTGGGCCGTCGATGACCTGCTACAGTTTTCCGATTTTGAAACCTCCGACAAGGTATAACAATACAATATATTCAGTATTCACATATCAAAATTGTTTAATACTTATTACAGATATTGAAAACGTATTTCTTTGGTGTGCAGAAAGAACCAATGGAATTCGGATCGCTCGAGTGGTTGAGTGACTATGGCGTATTTGGTGACGAAGCTGCCGAAGTTCCTCAGCTTCCGGCATCACAGCCGATCAACGCCACCTCATACAGACAAACCAAGTTCTACGTGCCAAATAACAAGAAACCAAGATACGAGATTTTGAACGAGGAAGATGACGATGAGCACTTCACTGTTCCTGATCTTGGTTAGACTCGAAAGTAAGCTGAGCTTATCATACGATATCAATACCAATCTCGATATTCTGCAAGGAAAAAGTATTCATTTGGTCGTCGTATTGTTAAACAAATGCGTTTTGATCATTGCACTCGTGAAATTATCTATCAAGTCATGAAGTTTTATAGATGAATGACTAAAATGTAATTGTTTACAAATAATATGAGGACCAAATGAATAATTGTTTTCCATATTATGTATAACTGAGAATGAGATTCTATAATCTTTATATTATAACTTTATAGTGTTGCTACTGGAAAAATAGAATCGTATGTCATATTTGTATGTTATGTATTATATATTTTGGAGAAAAAAGTGAGAAATTTCAGAGGAAAAAATGGAAGTGTTTGTTGATGTTTTGTTCATTGATTAAAGTCATGATTTAATAGGCTACACAGCCTTCACATGTGGAACTTATGATGATATTAAATGCATCTTGATACGTATAGGTGAAGCAAGACAAAAGTTTTCACATTATAGTTTTGTTCATCTACTTTTAAAGAATAAACAAACATATGAATATATAAATTATTGGGTAAAGACAGCAGGAATTTATCGACATATATGCTTTCAACAGTCATGCATTGTGCTTTAACATGTACATTGTGAACACTATGGGAGGTGAGACATGCTCTAAACTTGTTAAATCTGACGGGTTCGATCTTAGTTGTCTGCTAATTGTTTGCAACTCTCGGAAAACATGGTTTTTTTTTTTTTTTTTTTTTTTTTTTTTTTTTTTTGTGTGTGTTGTCGTTAACCACTGTAAGGTTACTATGGTTATATATACATACCAAATATATACCATGTTTTTAGGGTTCCTATTTACTATGAATGTGAACATTACATACATGAGTTTTAGTATGTTGATTCATGCTTTTTTGCTTGAAAAAAAACTTGGGGTGTTATAATATTTGATTATTTTGCATGAAGTTTGGGAAAACCTACTGATATATCTATTAAGGAAAGTGAACTTTTACACGATCTATAATGATTTCTATGAACATTGATTATCAACTTTCTTTGTTTCTCAATTTGTAACAATCATAATCGGTATTTTCTTATGGGATAATGACTTAAAAAGGTAATATATTTTTTTATTTGTATATATATTTAATCATTAAGTTTATTTTCCATCTATATTTACTTCTTCAACTTGTTTAATTGTACATATTTAATCTTTATAGCTGATTGCTTCAGATAAATCGGGAAAAAATAACATAAAAGGGTAATATATTTTTTATTTTGTACATATTTAGTATTAATATGTAACATATGGAATCATAGGTATGTTAATGGTGTGTTTATTTTTGGGGTTTATTGAGTGATTCGACGAGTTGTGAGTCCAACTCGTTGAGTAGAGTCGAGCTGACCGTTGGGATTAATGAATAGACTTGACGAGTCAGAGAGTCGACTCGTCGAGTAGGTGCTGTGTGGTGAAACCCTAAATCCCCGGGTTTGGGGCCTATATAAGGGAACTTATAGCCTCATTTGCGGCTCATGAGTTGCCCAACTTCACTAAGAGAAACCCTAGTCACCTTTTTGAGCTAAAAGAGAGATTGTTTAGCTAATCTTGAGAAATTTTAATGCATCTTTGAGGAGAAGAGGAGTTGTTCAGCAAGGAATAAGGAGGAGCTGTTGGATTAAGGGTCAATACACCTAAAGCTTCAAGAGGAAGGTAAAAAGTCTGCACCTTTATCATTCTTATGGTTAGATTTCTTTATTTTGGAAACTTAGGGTTTATGCCACCTTTATTTGGGATTTCAAGCTTATAGAGTTGTCTTGAGGTTTAGACCTTAGATCTGGACCTTGTGAGGTCCCTAGAATCCAAAGGTCCCAACTTTATTCACTCATATGAAGTATATTGTGCTTAACACATTGTAAGAGCATGTTTTTGTATGTTGGAGCAAAATTACCATGCATAACATAAAGATTGAAGCTTTACGTGACAATGAAGTCATGGGATGCTAGATCTAGTGTTTGAAGTAGTAGATGTCTGAATGAGAAATTAGATTGAAAGGACTTGTCGAGTCTATGAGCTGACTCGACGAGTCGGCTGGGGTTTTTCCTCGATGGGTCTGGACACGGGTGACTCAGCGAGTTGGCGAGACAACTTGACGAGTCAAGGTGAACTTTCACGATATGACAGATAGAAGAAACAAGGGGACTCGACGAGTCACATAGATGCACTCACATAGATGCACTCGACGAGTCGGTTCAAACTTGGACTGTTGACTCGAGTTTGACTTGTGTTGACTTTAGGGTTTGGTCATACATGAGTAATGGAGACCATGGAGGGGGAAAATGGTATTTTACCCGATTCAAGAATTAGAAAGAGAAAGAGAGGGTAACCTTTTTGGTATTGAGTATGAATAGAATATTAATTAGAGATATTTACCCTATGTGATAGGCGGATGCTAGTTCGAGATTTCCGTGTGCAAGATTATTACTTATTAGATTTCGAGGTGAGTCTTCTCACTATACTTTAGCTAGAGTGGTATCTATGTGTGAACAAAGGGTCTTATGTGTTTATTTGAGTATTGTGATATTATTGCATTATGCTTGTGTGATTTATGCTATGTGTTATTCAGAGTTTACAGAGTTAGGACTGGAGGGTCCACCCGAGTTATGAGATCGGAGGGTCACACTGAGACACATTGACCGGAGGGTCTTATCTGAGTATAACCATGAGAGGCTACTGAGATGTGTGTGATATTTTGGGGAACTCACTAAGCTCCGTGCTTACCGTGTTATGTTATATGTGTTTCAAATACTTTTCATGATATCAGAAAGGCGCCGGCTCGATTGTACACACGAGAGAAATAGTTATGTTGGAGGATCTTGGATTTGTGATAAACAATTTTAAATAAAAATGTGTTGGTAAATTGTTATTTGTGATTTTGAGGAAATGTGACGTGCTTTGTTGTGCTTTGAAATGAAAATTTTATTTGAAAAATTACGGTGTTACATAATATTTCTTTTTGCATATTTAATCCTTAATATTTTTTTGTTGCAAAATAAGTCCTTGTTGTTTTTGTATATATTCAATACTTATGACTAGATTTTTTAGTTTTTTCTCACAACATCCTACTTGGGACAATCCTTAATAAGGTATTCGAGGATGTTCATGTATATGGTTACCGCTGCCTCAGTTGCTTAGTTCTTATGGTTTGGCTTAAGACTTTGTGTTCTGAACATCAAACTTCTTCAAATGATCATAGATTTTAACGATCTTTATATCCACACGTTTGTATTCGAATCTACTACAACTTTCATTTAGATTACTTTCGTTAAAAGTAATACATGATTACTTACGATATTTATATCCATGCGTTCTTAATGAATATATGTATGAACTTTTCTTTTATAAAATCGTAATTACAAATATATTGTTTTTTAACGAGAATAATCTAAACGAAAGTTGTAGTAGAATCAAATACTAACGTGTGGATATAAAGATCGTTAAAATATGTGATCGTATGAAGAAGTTACGACATTCAAAACACAAGAACTAAGCAATCAAACATTTGTTGTCGCGGTGGTCATATGCATTAACAACCCCAAACACCTTATTAACGATTGTTCCACATAATATGTCATGAAAAAAACCTAAAAAAACATTCATAAGTGTTGAATGTGTACAAAAACAACAATGACTTATTTTGCAAAAAAATAAAAATAAAAAAATAAGGACTAAATGTACAAAAAAAATATTAACGATTAAATGTGTACAAAATAAAAAATATATTACCCTTTTTAAGTTATTTTTCCAGCATACCGATCATTAGGACTAAATGTGTATAGTTAAACAAGTTGAAAGGGGTAAATGTGGACGAAAAAAACTCGATGGTTAAATGTGTACAAATCAAATAGCATATTACCCTTTTAAGTCATTATTCATATTGAATGTGTACAAAAACAACTAGGACTTATTTTGCAAAAAAAAAAAAAAAAAAAAATAAGGACTAAATATACAAAAAAAAAATATATTAAGGATTAAACGAGTACAAAATAAAAAATATACTATCATTTGAAGTTATTTTTCCGGTTTATCTGAAGTAGTTTGTCATAAGGATTAAATGTATATAGTTAAACCAGTTGAATAGGTAAACATGGACAAAAAAAAAAAAAAAAAAAAAATCAGCGACTAAATGTATACAAATCAAAAAATATATTACCCTTTTAAGTCATTATCCATTTTCTTATTGATATTCAATTAATCATATCTAATGTTATAAAGAAATTATTTATTTTAGTCTTTATCTTATTCGTTTGGTAAGATAATGTAGTCTTTATCTTTAGTTTAAACTTTCCTTGCTACCTAAGTTGTAGCATTGTGTTATAGGAGTTCTGATACGTTTATTTTATGTATTGTTAGCTTTAGATTTATAAAAAAAAATCGAATCTCAACTAGTTTGAAAACACAAATGGGCAATATATCTAGTTGTGAAGTAATACAGTATAAATTAACAAAGGGTGTCAGAATTCAAGGAAAACAAGTATGATTTTGATTCAAATAAATAAGGTAATAATCAAAATAAATACATAAAAGTAAATACGGTTTTTTTTAAAAAATATTAAACTTGTTGAAACACTCAAATTAAGCAAACAAAAGCAAAGAACTAATTTAAAACAACAGATTTGAAGTACTTATATTAGAATACAAATCCTCCTGGTTTGTATGTTTGACCTGTTAGAATGCAATGGAATAATGAGTTGGTTACTGAATTTTATGACTAGTTATCTTGGTTGGAATTCTTACTACTAATGATTAGTGAACATCTAATCTCAGTGATCATGCAATTAGTGAGCACAAAATCATTTAAATAAATTCAACTGTGAATGATATGATCTAATAATTTCTTATCAATTATCATGACAATAAAGCATAGTATGTATAACTATAATTTTCTAACACAACCAAAGTTAATAATTTATAATACCTAACCCTATGATGGGATAAATCTCTAGTCATATTGAAGCTGGTGTCGGTGCTGGTGGTCAGTGTGTAGTGTTTGAATCATCATATTATAAGGTGTGTGACCTTACAAAATCGTCTAAAAAGATGGTAAAATAATTACGGTTAATTCGTCATTCTATATTCATGCTTCTAACTATCCTAAGCAAATGCAGGTGAAGGACACTCTTACAAATAGCAGTTACGGTGATTGTGCATAAAAGTATATACTAGTTTTAAATTTATAACCTAACAAAACTTTAACTAACTATGCGCTTATAGGCAGTGTACCTATTCGGATTATAGAATAGTTTAGGTAAGTAGGATGTCGAACACAGGGAACATAATTTAATTAACTAATATAACTACTTCTAATTAAACTAAGAAAACAAACTTAAAGTGGGGGTTTTTTTATTGATTTTGCAAGATCAGAAGAACTTAAATCAACTATGAACAAAAAATAGCTAAGCAAGAAAATAAAATGAAATTACTTCAAGATTTAAAGAGTACTTCTATTTAGATCTGATTTCCCCTTCTCGTATGGTTGATATCTAATGGATGGAATATATTGATTACCAATTCATTAACTAGCCTTTCTAATTAAATATCTAGATATACCAATTTATGAATTACCTTGCAATGATCAAGCTCATGTTAAACAAAAAACTGATAATAAGCACAACTAGGACTATGAATGATAAATATAATAGTTACTTCCCTATGATCAAATTATGTAACCAATCATAAATTAAG